AACTGCAATAGTCCCACCCTGTTAATAGGGTAGATATTAACCACAGCTTGCCAACTAGAAAAGGTCACAGGTTAACTTCCGGACAATGAGAACATGGTCCCAATCTGATAACCTGATACCAAAAGGAGGAAGCACGAACTTATCACCTGAGACGTGCTAACGAAGGAAAAAAACTGAGACGTGCTAATGAAGGAAAAAAGCTGGCTTCCCCTGTCCTTTTTGAATTATTAAGCTTGCTGATGTAATAAAAAATAGTAGCCAAAAAACCCCTGCAGAGAAAAAACTAAATAAAAGGCATTGTCTCATGCTCTACTGTGCTCCAGCTGCAACACGCTGACAGCCGCAGAGAGAAAACATGCATACTGATGCACTGAGGTCTCTGTCTGTGTTTTTTTATTTTCGCCGACCCTCCCTCTCCCTTTTCAGGTACCCACAACTCGACTGGAGCAGGTCTCCGGCAACCCTCTTCTCCAACTTTTCTGGCTTTATATCCCTGTCTTTGTCCAAAGCGTCTAGCTGTCTGTGATGCTAGAGCATTCAATCCAGTAAACAAAGTATGTCTTTGATATTTACCAACAGCAAGTTCCCAAAGAATTTCAAAACTAGTGAATTGATTAGCACGATGGCTGAGTGCTGAATTTAGTGTAAAAAGACGATATGAGTTTCTGTTATTATGAGTGGATAAATGAGGAACCTTGGTAAATTGAATTATGCCTGTTTATTCACACTAAATTGACATGGAACCTTAATTTAGCTGAAGTTACCTCCTGACTGACTGCTGGATTACATCTGCCCTCTCTCAACCGTGGCTTATGAGCACATGTACTCACATGTCTGCCAGCAGTAAATGGAAATCGATATATTAGATTCACTCACAAAAGTTAAAATCTTACCTCTTTAAATAAGAATTCACTCATCTTATAGTAATAAATTCAAAGTCCTTGTGGTTATGTAGCAGCTGTGCTATCTTTTGTTATTGTTTGCCTTTGGGGATAAATCTCTGAAGACTGTAGAGGTTCAAATGTGAATTCGAAAGCATAAGGGATCATTATCGCATTCTCAAGTGAATATTGAGCAGTTCAATCCACACAGACAGCTAATTCTCAAGCATCTGTCAATTCTCAATAAATTTTTAATGCAGATATTGATGTATTTCCATTTGATAATTATTGGAAGTATAATATAATAAATTATAGCAAATATTGGTTCTAAGTTTACTTTGATATATCAGGTTAAAGAATACTAAACTGCAAATATAAAATGACAAACAACTTTAATTATTCAGCATGTATTTATTTTTAAGTATTTTTTTAGTGATAGATGTAAGACACTTCATTAAATACCTCGGAGAATCTGGACTGGGATGCCGTATAAAATTGAATTTAAATAACACAGCTATTTAAGACATGTACATAGCATTTTTCTAGCAAAAGATATAAAATAAAAATGCTTATAGTTGTATAGATAGAGAACTGTGAAGTAAAAAAGAGGTTTAGATGACTTCCAGATGAAACAATCTCTTGTTCTCTGTGCCTCAAAAGGATGACTACCAATTAGTGGCTTCTATGAGTCGATGGATAGTATTAGAGACAGTGATCTCCAATCTGAAGACTCAATCTAATTCTCTTCTTAATCCTAATATTAGAAAGTCCTTTCTCTCCCTCCTATTGCTCCCCTTGATGGCAGTGGTTTACCTGTGATAGTACTAACTTTCATTCAGAGCTTGCTGTTCTCCAAGCTCTGTGCTTAGCTTTATATATATTGTCTCACTTTATCCTCACAATGATTTGGTGAGCTAAATATTCATATTTTCCTAATTTTATAGATAGGAGAGTGAGGCTTAGTATAACCTACTTGTCCCAATGTACTCAACTGGTAAAATTAAATCCATGTTTAAAATTCATGTCATACTGAATGCTAGAATGTGTACTCTGAACTATTACTGTCACCAAGGTTTATGTGCCTCAGTGATGACCACTGGCTCCCAACTAGTCCCTGATTTACAGTTTGCCCCCACTCTCAAACCTCAATACCCTGCCTTACTGCCTACAACTAGCTAGGCCTACAGTCTGGTGCAGAACACCAGGCCAGTGTTCAGAATTCTAATTTCCCCTTGTGCTCACCAGTGAACTATGCCATCAAAATTCATTCTAAATTCCTATAAAACTTGTCCACTTCTCTTCACCTCTCCACTGTAATACCTATCCTAATTGATTTCCCTTCTATGTATAATCGCCCTTTCATACCACAGCCAGGATGAGTTATTCTATTAAAACAATTTAATTTTATTCATTTTTATTACTATAAAAGAATTGCACGTGCTTAATTGAAATGGCTCATAAGAGAAAATAATAGTCCAGAGCCCCATGCTTTATAAATCCAAAGCCCTGCTCTCTGCAAGCAACCACTTTTGATGCTTTAAATTATTTCATGATTGAGATACCTCAGCATTTAAAAACAAAATGCTTTATGAGATAAAAATACAGAATTTCTGTGTTTCTGAAATTTTCTCTATTTATTAAATTTAAACATAATTGATACGAGGAGAAAACTAGTGGTTTTTCCAGATGTAAAAGTGTATGAACAGATTTTATTTGTTGAATTTATTATAACAAGGTCAGATCAACAATATCAAATACATTAAATGTCAAAAAAGAGAATACATTTTAATTCAATATTCTATTACAATGATATATTAAAAATTAATAATTTCTCATAGTTAAGAGGCAATAGGGGGCCAGCCCGGTGGCGCACTGGATAAGTGCGCCGCTTGGGAAGCGCGGCGGCGCTCCCGCCCGAGGGTTCGGATCCCACATACAGACCGGTTCCCGCTCACTGGCTGAGCGAGGCGCGTTCTTTAATTAATGGTCAAATATATTTTCCCAACATTTTATTCATACCTTATATGTAATGAGCGGTAATAGCTACTAGCTTAGTTAACTGTCATCTCAGTCTTGTGTTACTAAAAAATTCAGTTTATTAATCTTTCAAGTTTCCAGCTATTCATAATATATGTTCTCTGTTACTTTAATTTTAATCAAGGCAATTAGACAATTCGGGCTTTAAAATTTATATTTCTACAGCTTATACCTTTCTTTATTTACTCAGAACTTTTATATATTCATCTATCAATTATCTGCACAATTGTGCTGTTCACATGCACACTCAG